ATACATAGTATATATGTATACATAATTATAAAAACTAATTGTATATATACCTATAAATGTTACATTGTAAACATCCTAAATGCAGTGCTGCATACGTTTGTTTTTTGAAGATTTTGGCATGATTGAGCTGCTCAAAATTGAGCTGTCCAGCCACCTCGTCAGGTCGGATCAGCCAATGTGCGCTTTGCATCTGCAGAGACAGCCCGGGCCCAGGCATCAGAATTGCTCTATATAAGCATCGATGTGTTCTTTTGTTTAATCTATGCACATTTATACACATCTCATATCATCTCATCTATTTTTATTGGTATATAATATACTGATATTTCATCCACTTCAACCCGACCATGTGGGCCAAATGGGCTCGTTGCACGTCAAGTGCCAACATGTGCCAACGAGGTGATGATTTGGGTGATCAGATTCAGCGGGTTTATTCATAGGTGCAGCCAGGTTTACATTGAGAATCCCTATTCATAGATGGTGTATATACAATTTTTGTTATTCATAGATGGTGTATATACCATTTTTGTGGTCAACCATATTTGGGCGGATGTACCCCCTAGTAAACTAACATAGACCCTGAAAATCACTATTTTTTAATGGACATGAATCTTCCAACCCCTGTCTGCCAGGGTCTATGTTAATATACCAGAGGGTAAGTACTGAGTCATTAGGCATCCATGAGTTTTTGACCCACAGCAGGTGCGATTTTTTCTTCGCAACGCTGGTCTGAAGGAGGAGGAGCGGCTAGGGATAGCATGGGCAGCTGGATTGGAAAGTCAAGACGTATCTAAACATCTCTAAGCCTTGTGAGTTTTGATCCTTGGTTCCTTCATATCATTCCATCTTCAAAGGATCCGGAGCTTGGGTCAGCCAATGGCCAATGCTACATTTGCAGAATGGAAGCTGAGTTTCATCATTCTTCCCACACAAAATCGTAGAGGATAGACTTGCTTTCTCTGAGGAGTTGCGTTCCAGCCTGTTGCGGCATCCGGAGCTTCTGGATGCTGATCCAACAAGCTTGGAGGCCACTTCTGTCAGATATTCAATAACTGGGTGAAATTTAACAACCCCAGACATGATGTCACCAAGGGCCAAGGGGAACGGGTCAAATCAAGGCAAAATCAGTCAGCATCATTCAGCCCCATTCCAGGCGTCTGCCTTGGTCCTTCGGGAAGCCTTGGGCGAGCAGTCCGAACCTGAAAAGCCACGGGATTGTAGCCTTGTGGTCATGGGTATCCTGGTAAAGACTCAAGTAGCCGGCAAAAAGGATCTTCATCCCCTAAATCGTTTTGATCAATGTATATGTAGACTATTGTAGACTGTACATTTTTGTCCTTACTATCGTAGATGAACGATGAAATCAGGCTCCTGCTGGATTGTTGTCACCCCCGCACCCCCAAATTTCAAGTTTGTCTTTGGGCTGTACGCTTGAGCAACAAAATCAACCCTTGAACGCAGAGGAAGCTACGTTCGAGTTTTGTTCAGCATTGAAATTGAGGTGTGGGGTTTTGCTTGGTAGATGTCCATCCCATTCCCAGATGTTTTTGTTCCATGCTTACTGTGGCAACATTTGTCGCCTCATAATTTCACCGAGGTTTACTGGGACTCTTCGTGACTGTCCCGAGGACACGGTGCTGGATTTGCGGTTTGACATGGAGCACTTGAGGTGTAATCACTTTCGATTGAGCATGTTGAGCTTGAGGAAGGACAGCCTATCGCAGCTTTTTCCTTGAGAGGAAGTTCTATATGAGATGTTGGACATTGTCAATATTGATTTGCTGACTTTGCTTACCTTTGTACAGGAGCATAGCTGATATGAGAGGGAAAGTACCGCAAGACTAGTGTGTGCAAAAACTAATTGCTGCAATCACGCTATCTCTGTTACTTGCATTGCATCCTTGCACAAAATTGCAGAGAGTAGATGTGCTTTATGTGAATCCCCAAGACAGAAAATTGCATAGCTTCCCTCCTTCCAATCCTGGTCTTGTTGAAACAAGCGCTTGGTTCAAAAATGTTCCATGCCCGGCTGCATTTTTCCCAAATGTCTCGCACAGTGAACATAAGTGAACTACACAATCTGTACCTCATAGCTTTCCCATCTTTCCCTACCTGGAGATGTTTTCGATTGTTTTCAACCCCCTTTGGCTCTGCCATCGCCCTTTGGGACGGGTTGGGCCCACTGCAGGCCCTGCTGTGCGACCAGAAGGACCTGCGGGACTTCGTGGAAGTCTTTGAGCAGTGGGAGATTCCACTGGCAAAGGCGCCGATCCAACGGATTCACAACGGATTCACGAGAAACTCACGGTTCTTATGGGGAAAACATGGTGATATAACTAGGAAATACTAGGAAAAATTGGATGAAATTGGGCTGTAACCAACCTGAGATGAGATGAAATTGGTCTGTCCTTCAATTCTGGAAGATACCTCATGAAATGATAAAAACATATGGATAGATGAATCATTTCGGGCTCCCTCTTGTCAGACAAAACCATCTGGCAATGGGCCACTCATCTTCTATAGGGCCTTCTCGCTGCTACCATCCCATCCAGAGAGGTCATTGCTTCCCTGTTGCCTCGGTGAATGAACTTCTGGAGTTCTTACATCATCGTGCTCGAGGTTTAACCTCAACAATCTATGATAAAGAATGATAAAGAGTGTCCAAAAAAAATCCAAGTTTCGAAGTGCTTTTTCAAAATTTTCCCTTCAGACCTGGTTCAAAACATGTTTAGGAAAAGGCTCAGTTAGTTCAGCCTGAAAGTTGGTGGCTGGAACTCCAGGAACATCGCCAGGTGCTGCGGCGGTCCCCCCGGATCCTGCTGCGGAAAGCCCAGGAGATGATGCAGCTGCTGGCGTTTCTGCAAGATGAAACGCTGCTGGGCTCGGGGGAAGCTGGGGGAAGTTTGGAGAATATCAATTTTGGAACCTTTGGAACCTTTGGAACTTGGTTTTTGCTGGTTGCTATGCACATATATGTATATTAATTTAATCATGTTTAATATGTTTTTTTGAAAACCACATTTCGATGTGATCACATTGATCACATCACCAAAAAAGAATCAAATAGGTAGACTAAAGACCCGACACTGAAGCGATCTTCGAGTGTATCTCTGAGGATTGGTCCTGGGATGAGCCACTCCCAAGTGCAGGAGGTGCAGTGCTGATTTGAACACATAGGGACCAGCCACTAATCACTGGATTCAAAACCGCTGCGACACCCCAGTTTCCGGAGGCTAACGCAGCAGATTGAAGATATTGAAGGAAATTTCTACTCAGACTTAGATCGGCTTAGAAGCCAAACTTGACCCAACTGACTTCTGGATTTCCATCACCAAAAATTGGCACCCGACATGTTGAACCTAAAATGGAAAAGTTCCTTCGTATATAATTTATATATTATATGTATATGCAACTTGGCTTCGCGGCCCACCCCTGGCTCAAAAGAAAGTGGGAGTTCGGCTCTGCGCCCCACGAGCCGCTTGGGGTTCTCATGTCGAAGAACATGCCAATGTCCCTTGGCTCGACGGCAGGGGGTACGGGAGCATGTCCTTGTACTGCTTGGCCGACGATCCAGTGGCAGTCCTTTCCCCTGACCAGCAGATGTTTGTTTCTGGCCATGTTTGCCAAAGAGGCCTACAGTTTCAGCCATTGTGGCTCACTAATACATGATAACCATTGACTATGTTGACTGTGCGAGCTTGATGGCTCAGGATTGCAATATCACCCCATCCTTCAAGATGAGGATTGTAATCCAGACAGTTATTTCAAATTTCAAGGTTTCACATGTCACCCTTGGTTTGGAGCGACGGAGATTTGGTTGTGTCAAAAAAACGGATACCCCAAAATTTGGTGACAAATTATCAGGTTGACTTTTGAAATTGGCATTTTGGGGAAGCCTTTTTTGTGAACTGACTGAACCCAGATATAAATACTACTGATCTACTTGTTATATACGTCGGACCTAGTATTCCCCATATTTGTTGGTGTTATATCCGCTAGTATTCTTGATCTATCAAACCCCCCAAGGCTTAAACCACCATTACATTAATCATGTCAAGTTTGTTGTGTACATTCCACTATCATAACCCATATCTCCTCTCAAAATAAAATCCTGAATTGGAGATATATATCCCCATATTCATATTAAACATTATAAAACAATATCCACGTATCCCATTGTCCACCCAATTTCCTGTTATACCCTCATATATTGTCCTTTTTACGCCGTTATGTAAATACGATGCTCCAATTTTATAATTATATAAATTATATCCCAATTATTTCCCCATACCCATGACCTGAGAAAGTCACGAGTTTTTCCGGGATGGGGCCGGATGAACGGTCTCCCATCACCAAGGAAGGCCAGCAAGGCTTATGAAGAGCTGGTGGCCAGTCAGTGCAAGGTGCTGCAGGAGGTACTTCTCAGCCCCTGGGCTGATCCTCCACGCAGCTGCCTTAGAAATTCACGGGCAGACACCTTCCAAAGGGATAGAACAGTCATTTATATCATTTATAATACATCACTATTATTACTATTATTTTATTATTATTAGTAATTATTTTATATATGTATATATGCATGCATTCATTAAGATATATTTAATACCATCATTATACATCATGATATATACTTATATGCCATCACATGGTCATATACTGCTATTTTGATGGGATTTACCTTTCTGTTTGTTGTTTTTCTTTGGTGGTGAGATTTTTTTGGGTAATTACAACGTCTCAAAATAATATCAACAGATATTCAAGGAAAAATCGGGACACGGCATTCCTAGTTGGAGGAAAAACTGTGAATAAAGACATGAGCAGAAATCCAACATCATGTTCAACAGAAAATCCGCCCACTATCAGCAGTCCACCCCCTAATATTATAAACACTCCCATGGTCCCAATTGTGCGGTTTCATCCCTACTAAACGAATGTTTCGGGCCTTTAATGTTGGGATATGTTGGGATTATCACCAAACGTTAAAGGTATTTCCTTCCCCCATGACATTTCCAGGGCAGCATCACTTGGAACTGGCTGCCTTGCGCCGCGAGCTTACGCGTGAAGCCACAGAAGTTTCAGCTGAAGGGTTGGAAGAAACGGATGCAGAGGAGGAATCCGAACCATCCACGGTGCAACTGAGGCAGGGCGTAGATCTAGGGTAGATAGATGGCAAATGGAACATCTAAATCCTGAGTTTCCAAAGCGAAACCCAACAGAAACTTGGGCGAGAGTTGGCACGTAATGGAAACAAAGTCATTATATCATATAATATATATATAGTCATAGTATATATATATTTATATAATTATATATAATTATATCAATGTATCTTAATGTCATCAGGGTCTTGAGTTTTGAACGTGAGCAAAAAGGCCTAGATTATTTAAGGCTGAAAAGGCTACCAACCAGGGGAAATGGATGGAAACGGCGAGAGGCTGGTAGATACTTCGTTTTATCTTCCAAGTGGAGATGGCAAGAGTTGAGTCAATCGAATCAGGCCCAAGAACAGATGTTGGTAGCCATCAAATGTTTTAGTACATTCTAGTACTATATTCACTTAGTATTTAATGTTACTCACTATTATTCACTTGGTTATACGCAAGTTTGACGCATCCTTCCCATTTCCACAGAAACGCCAGGTGGAATCGTTTGACCCAAAAGCTCCTTTACGAGCAAGAGTGGTTGGAGAATGTCACAGGCAGCTGAGACCAACCCTTTTTTTCACGGCAAAGTGTGGGAAACCCACGCGTTAAGAGTAACCAGTAAGCGTGTGATTTCACTGGTGATTCTGCTTATTTAGCTGGGACATCTCCATTTAAGCAGTGGCGGCCAGAAGTTTGTTCCGGTCAGACTTCCGGAAGTTACATCAACGGTCTTGTACTGGTAGAATTCGAAATAGATCCCATTCCACTTGGAAAGCTGTCTCGTGAATAGCCCAGTTTTGGGCTGTCCATATGGAGAAATGTGTCACTTCCCCCCCACCCCGGCTCATGCATTTTTCTCCAGCATATCTTGATACGGGTCTAGCCATTTTTCAAACAGAAATCAGGAATCCTCAAGTTGCATGGGTACGGCTCAAAATTGTTATTGGACAGCTAATCAGCTGAATGGTTTCGCACTAAAAATTACAGTGCCACCTTCCTGGTCTGATCTCGGAATCTTTGCACAGGACTGGATCCAGTTGAGAAGGAGAGTACGCAGCACCAAGACCTTCACATGCGTCGTGCGTGGCACTCTTCCATGATGATCCTAAGATGTGGGGAATTGCGGTTTGAAAAAGGGAGAGTAAGAGTCCTGAGAGGATGTTTCAACACGGTTTCTGGGAAGTTCAAAATTTTTGGTATTTTTGTAGTCGAATTCACTCTGGTCGTCGCACCGGGTTGATGCTTTGATTTGAGTTGGATGAGTTGGCCTTGAAGGGAGGGAATATTTTGAGTTCACGGCCAGAAGCCACCTGAACCAACCCCGAAAAAACAGTTGACAGGGAATGCTCATTTGTAAGCAAGATGATTCTCGGAGTCTTGGTGGGTTGGACCCTTTATGACCCTTTTAAACCATGGGATTTACATGGCTGTGAGTCAAAATAGTCAAGACTGATAGGTTGGACGTTCCGTTCGATACTCTGAATACCCTGTTGAGCACAAGGCTCCCCAGCGTTGAATACCTTCCATTCAATACGTGTTTGTTCCATACCAGCATGTCAAGATTTTGCCCTATGTTCAATGGCCATTTCAGGAACCTAAATTGGAGGTACCTACCATATATAAGGCCTATGTAAGGCCTATGTAAGGGGATATACCCCCAAAATATGGCCTTATATGGTACAGTACCTCCATTTTAGGATCCTGAAATTTCCATTGATATGTTCTGTCAAGTTTTTGAGGATTCCAGCAAATCCTCATCGCTTTTTTGTGTGGTTCTTGGGCGTTCGCTTCCAAGATCTTCTCCACAGACCTTTCGTCCCAGGATGTCCCAGATCCCTGCGCCGAGGAACCGCAAACGTTCACGGACGATGCGCTTTTCGACGGGTCCTGGGAATCTGCACCTGAAAATCAACGAAGCTTGCCCTGGAAGGGTCCAACCCTGGGTTGAGTGGGGAAGATGCTGTGGAGATACAGCTTTGCCATGCACCAAGGAAGCGCAAACAGATGATTCGATGCTGCAGAGGTTCGTGGTGAGGCCACAGAACAACCTGCAGTCACTTGGAACATCACTTGGCAATGATCAATCGAGATCAATCCTTGAAAATTCCCATTTGTTTTCCATGGAAATTCCAGGTTTCGATGGAAGTTTCCAGGGTTTTCCCTTCAACGACTTCCGTGTGTGCCATGTGTCAAGAAGGGATCCATGGTCTCCAAGGTTGGCATGGTCCATCATGGCCTGCATCCTCATCATGTGGGATATGTGTGCTGCCTGGAGTTTGGGTCTGGCGGGAACTGAATCCCAGGGGACTTGCTGGAACCTCTCGTCACATTGTCCTTACATTGTCCGACAACTTGTCCGAAAACATTGTTCTTTATGTACCCTCTGGTAAACTAACATAACTATGGAACATCACTATTTTCAATGGGAAATTCCACTATTTCTATGGTCATTTTCAATAGCAAACTGTTGGTTTACCGGAGAGTATTTTATTTGAGCCATTTGAGCTTCACCAACGCATTGTATGCACAGTGCGCGATGTAGGATCACCATCCCTCTGGAGTTTTTCGACGCCAAAGAGCTGGCAGACGTCCAAAGTGTGGTGACTAGGCGATGAAACTGGTCCCCCTTTGTTAGAAAGTGATAAACAAATAAAAAGTGTATTTCTTTATATTTTGTGGTTATTTGTTTTATTTTGTTTTGATGCTTATATAGACACATACACACACAAACACACACACACACGTATGTATATATATATACATGCATATGCAGTATTATGCAGTACCTAATTATGTATATCATGTGCCATCTATCCGCCGAAAAACGTTCCCAAAACAAGCAACAGATCCAAAAGTAAACAGCTATTTAAAGGGGGATTGTGGAGGGAATTGATTTTAAGCTGTTTGTTTCTATAACCGTCCATTGTTTGAGGACATTATGAGTCAGTGTGCCCACCCCCACACGGCACGTCATTCTTAGTATTTAGCAAGCAATCGGGGTAACTGAGCACATGGTCGGTAGATGATGCACATAGATAGCAATCTCCATGGGGAAAATGATGATCAATCACGAGAATTTGTGGCAGATGGCACCAAAGATCCAACAAGAATCTTGTTGCTTATCAGTTATCAATCAATAACGGGGATGTTTGGGGATATATCGAATAGAGGGGGGTGATATAATTGATTGGTGTTTTCATCCATGCATTTATATGAAACAATTATTCTCACGGGCTACGGTTCTGCCGTGGATATGGTGAACATTTCTTGTGCCCAAAATGGAGTGTTGATGGCCACCAGAACTCCAAGGGTAACTTCATAAAGCGAGTCAAAGGGATAGTTATGGCAACAGGATGTTTATGTTTTATTCAAATGTTCATTTTTCATAATTGATTACTACATATACACACATATATGATCATATATGTATATATGCGTGAATAGTTCGTGTGCTGATTTATTTACTCACTTGAAATTTCTGAAATGGGCAGAAGTTCCCAACTGATGTTGTTTCCAAGGGTTGGAAGCGCCATGGTAACTATGTGATCCATCCAATCGGCAGAGTGGGCAGAGTGGTGGTTTGGGCGTGGTCCATCTACATGGTGAGCTTAACAGCAGATTAACCAATACTAGTGATTACCAAAATGATGAACATTATGAAAATGATATGTTAGCAATAATTCGTCGCCCCAATTGATTCGTGAAACTATACTATATATATATATGAGTTTGGTATAGACGTTGGCACTCAAACCTTACTTACCTGAAGCATATGGGACTTATAGTTATGTTGTAATTGCAGAACTTGAAATTGGAATATTGTAATTCTAATCCCAAAGGCAGATGGTGACTCTAGTGAAAATCATGCATGTCAGAAAAATGAATGATGCAGCAAATTACAGGTCAAACCACTTATTCCTATAAAGAGAGAGAGAGAGAGAGCAATCATGGCAACAAAAAAAGTACGTGCATAGCAATATAGCGTTCAACCACATGGTTTGGTATAGTGTTGATGGCATTCTCGCAAATTGTCCCATCATCAAACCATATTAAACCATCATCAAACCATCATCCAATGCCAAGGTGAACATTTTGACCTTCGTTTTCTGGGTCATCGATATGCCCTTGAATTGTTTCTTCGGCGTCCACCGCAACGGCGTTGTCGAGCTGAGACCCCAGGCCTTGTTCAGGCGCCCTGCGCTTTCCACCGTGGCAATGGAAAACTCATTGAAGCTCCAATTCCTAGCAAAAAGAGGATAAATACGTACCAAATCGCACCAAAATCTCATTGAACAGAAACAATTCTAGGAAAGATGAACAATAGAATTGGTGCAACAAAGATCTTATTCAAGAGAAACAAACATAGGAATTGACAAACACATTGAGAGGATCACATTGTTAGACAGGAAGATATATTAGAAATCAATCATGCGTGCAAATCCGGGGTTGTCTTCCAGATTTCCGTGTTGTTGTTTGCTGTTGCGGGAGTGCGTACCCTGGTTTTTCTTAAAAAACGGAGACATGGATTCAAAAATCCCACGTGGTGAAGGTACCACCAGCATGTTATCAATTTCTGGATTTAGTGTTCTTGTGGTGTAAATGTTGAAGCATGATTACCCATATACAATGAATGAATGAAAAAAACTTGGAAGATTCCATTGTAGAACTGGAAGCAATACGTGGAAACTCTTGACTACCACCAATTTCAACATCCCTGGATGGGTTCAGAGTGATGCTTCCAGAGAGAAACATAGGACACCTGCAGGTAGTCTATTTTGTCGTCCAGCCAGCACTGCTCAGTCTGTACTTGCGCTCCTGGTTCGGCGTGGATTTGTTGATTATCTCCATCGACATTGCCAGATTTATCGCAGAAGCAGCGCCACTCAGTGATGTTTGAAGGATAAGAGGGCCACACTCATTATATCATATTATATCATATTATCTCTCATTCTACCATATTTGGGCGGATGACACCAGAGCAGTTTTAATCGATGATCCCACAGTTCCAGTATATCAGTATCCTATGGTCATCAATGACACAGTTTCGACTTAGCCACTTACAATGTGGTTTCAAAACATGGAGTTCAAGATCATGTATTCGCATGTTTGGTTTTATGTATGTATATATATATATATTTATTTATACGCATACGATATTTTGGGATATCACAGCGCCCAGTATTTCCAGCACACACCAAATATACACCAGCTGACTCAGTATGTTGTCTCGATGGGTCAAAACTGATGCACTAATTGCCCGAAGAGAATCATTGTTTGAATTGTTTGTGCTGATTTTCTGTTCCGCGAGTTTCTGGTGTCCGATCATTTTCACATGTTTTGAAATATTGGACCCTGACATCAACCAAAAAGACACACGTGTTCTTGTAGCATGTGTACTCATGTATATTCCATATAATATACGTATGTATGTGAATAGATATAGCATGATATAGTTACTTCATATATACCCCATAGGTATACTCCATATATACCCCAATATAATCCAATATAATCTAATAAATACGTGTATATATATATATTCATTCTAATTATTCTACAACTCATTGGTCCATGTTGCTCCACATTTCTCACAGGTTCGGAGGCACCATGTCCACCACTTTGACCTCGGGTCGCTACTTGTGCCGCGGCTTCCTTGAACAAATGGCGCGTATGTCAAGCCCCGTCTCATGCTGTTGAAACACTGTTGCTATGTGAATTATGTGAATTATTAATTAGTTGGAGTTATGTTTTTCACGTAACATGAACTAATCCTGTGCTTTTGGGAAAACATGTGTGCTACATTGGAGATATATGGAGAAGAAGGCAATTACCCATTATGATTCTATCGCGTAGATTATCCTATATTCTCATCATTTGTCATAAGTTTTCTATTTTGAAATTGCTATGTATTTGATCATCTATTTCTGGGCAAATCCATTTACACAGCTCAAGATTGTCGTGGGAACACAGGGTGCTTTACAGGGAAAAAACCTTATACGATTATGAGTGGTGTTGTTTAATTTGTTTGTATGACACAGGGGTTGGATTCATGGCTCAGTTTCCCCCTAACAAGCAAATACGATATTGTTACACCGTATCACATCTGTAATATCGTACATATAACATAATGTATATGTATGTGCAATATATATATATATATATGCATATTTATATATATATGCAAATATATATATATATATATTATATATATTATATATATATTTATATATATATATATATATGTACATAGGTAAACATACATGTGCGTGTAAATACATATGAACACACACACATATATATATATATATACATATATATATATATATATGCCTGGTTGAATTTATTCCCTTTTTGGCCCATGTATCACCCTGCGTGATTGTGCTGGCTTATCCCGCTGATACGGAGGTATCTATAGACGAGGTCTTTGATTTTAGAGGTTGGTCCAGGGAAGACGTTGTGGACTATTATCCATACATGTGCCAATACATAATCTCATATATATATATATATAAATAATGTTCTATTATATTCTATTATTTTACATTGCATTACATTACATTTTATTATATTTTATTACATGAATTATATTGTATTAATTATATTAGCCATAGATTATCAGATTCTTGTCATGTGCACATATTCCCAACTACTAATAGGCTATAAATAGATCCAGTGGAAATCAGCTATCATCCTCAAGGCGCGCGTTGCGAATTTTGCGCCTACTGCGTTTGACGCGAATTGGAAAGCTCCAGAAGAAATTCAGCATTTTGGCGACCCGGTTCTTGTCCACCTACGTCTTCATGATCTTGAAGGCCGCTTGTTGCGAGATGTTGTGACATCGCAACAGAACCTCGGGTGCAGCCATTTCCATTGCAACACCATGAGTTGAAGACCTAGGGAACAGCAGATGTTGGTCCATGTTCAGCACTGAACCGTTAACTAAACTCACCGTTACTTTGGGGAATCAGCAGTTTCAACCCGGCCCACTGCGAGATGCCAGCCCGAATGTAGAGAGGTAACTGCTGAGTGCCAGCACCTTCCCGATCCAATTGGTTGGTGCTACCAATGATGTTTTCACACCATTACCCTTTGGTAATCAAACATGGCTTGCTGGAAATTTCCCCCATTTAGTTCAATGATTTTCCCATTCACATGATTTCAATGTATTTAATGTCCATTGAAAAAGAACATTTCCCAGCTAGCTAGAGGGTGTGATTCAACTGTTGGCCGATTTGTCATCCTGCGTTGGTGATGGTCAGATAACCACAACATGGCCGCACCAGCTCGGGTGAGCAAAGGGGGCTATAATATTTGAGATTTAAAAGTATGTATATGCACATATTATAATATTAATAAGTATAGGAGTTAAGAAGTTTAGGATTATCATTATCCATTATAATTATACAGGAATCTCATTCTTAAACAAGCAGTGCTTTTTTATATGATGACATCATTGACATCATTTGTGGTTGTGGTTGTGGTTGTTGAAAGCCATTGATTTGGTGCCGTCAACCAGGTGGTGTGGACCCTGACGTTGATGCTGGCCATCAACCATATCATCGCTTGCTGTTGGTATGGCGTAGCAACCCTCACGGAGGATGGCTCCACCTGGCTGGCACAGGTGGATACCGGCAGGGTCAACGTCTACGAGCCATGACTGGGGTCAGTACTTGTGGGTTCATAATGGCTAGTGCTCAGTAGCTATGGGTTAACAATGGATCTATATCATGAGAATAGTTGGATGATATAGCTTGATATGATATGACTATAGGGGATTAACAGTCCCGAAGGTTGTTCATACATATTAATACGGGGAGTGCCAGTTTCACTGCAAATTCATCAAACTAATCCGGAGTTGACATTAGTAGCCCAATTGATGAAGATGTGGGCATTTTAAGCCACCAAATCTTAGGGGAAAAAAAGATATTGGGCATCTACGCAAAAATGGGATGACATCTGCGGAGATCTTCGGGCGCTAGATGAACATCCTGATGTTGGGTTGATGCCCAGAGATGGAGCCAGCCATGCCCATTGCAAAAACACCATCGACGCAGACACCATCTCCAGGAGAAATAGAATTCAGATAGATTCAGTAAATCACCATGAGATTTATGCATTGCTTGTTTCATCTTGTTTCAAATCCAGGGGAATCAGTTTGATGATTCATGTATTGCCTCAAATGATGTTGAGGGGTCCATGAAAAAATGACCGCAGCAATCCGCAGCAATCCGCAGGTTTCAGGGTAGTGGAATACTAGTTCTGCCTGGCTACCTAATAGAGATTCAATAGATACTTCCATGTATTGTGATGATGTTCTATATAATCACATATTCCTATGATAAAGACCTATCCTCTTTTAATTTCGCATGGTAGAAAAGCTTTCAGATGATTTTTTACCTTCAGGAACATACAACCGCCAATGGGGGATGAGACAGAAACATTTTCCAGATGGTGGGGGGAACACTCGGATGATCAAAAAACCCACATACGAATACCATGTTTGTCAAGGATAACATCCATCATCATCCATCATCCATCTGGAGGTTTCCTAAGTCATGAGGGCTCCGCGGCTCCCCCATTGATGGAACCATCCACAGGACACCAGAGCACCGGCCATGACCCGAGGATCTCTATGTAGCATCACTTCACTGGTCCCTGACCGCTGCGCCGGGAATCGGGAAAACCTGCAAACCTAGAAATCATCAATCACAATTTACAGATATTTGTTGGCATATGTTGGCATAAGATTTATTACCAGGACTATAGTACTATAGGTAAATTGACCAAATTATGAGTGCTCCAATTTGCCAGGATTGATTAATACCACGAGTTTTCTGGAACCCGAAGCTTCAAAGACAACACATGTTTAACCAATGGTCGTGTCAAGTCGTTTTCGAAAACCAATGGTCATTCCAGCCATAGCAGCATCCAAAAGCGTACCATAAAGTCCCAAGGCGGCCTGGGATACACCCCATGACCGTGTTACGGGCCTCAATCTGGTGGCTATTCTCCCCGTGCTTGATGATGATGATGATGATGATGATGATGATGAAATATCCTCAAACATTTTCAATGATGATGATAACCATCATCATCACCATGATTGTCGCAGTTTTGGCAGGACTCAATTCACACCTTCGACCAACAACATCGCACCAGCCAATGGTCTTGAGCGCAGCTTCGCAGTCTTCGTGATTTTGTTGGCCATGGGCTTCTTTTCCTCGTCCCTTGGTGGGGTTGTTTGGGGCATTGTGTTTGATCAATGGACATGGATTGGTCATCATTATCACTAAATCCTGATTTCTACCATCGATTGGTAGGCTTTCCTGCTTTCCTGTAACATCCCGTAACAGTTTCCCATAAAGCAATCCTTACTTGTATTTCCTTTTTGCATGCATGCATACGAACACAGACAGGCAGGCAGGCAGGCAGGAAGACAGCCACCCAGGCAGGCAGACAGAATCAGACAGACAGGCAGGCAGGCAGACACACATACTTACAAACACATTGATACGAACAGTTTCTAGCGATGATGGTGAGGGCTCAAAGATTTGCATGGCCACTTGCTGACCCTGAAACCCGAAGGGGGAAGAGTTGGTAGGTTCAAGCTTTCGTGTAATTTCTTCAGGATTTGCAAACAATTTTGTTTGATGGCCTTTGCAAAAGTGATCTCATCAGATGCATTAAAAATATGATGATTGAATAATCGTAAAACATATCTATTACCATCACAGTGATGAAGACAAAGAATCATCAAACGTCATCAAACTCATACTTATCGAATATCATCAAAGGTCACCAAAGATCCTACCCAATATCCATAGTATTAGCATGAATAACAGTGCCCTGCGGTATTTTATCATAGCTATGAAAATGGATCGTTTGCAGATGATTTATCTACAGTACATATTTAATTACCTATAAACAATGTAGTTTATCCGAGGGTTCATTCCATTATATCCCCATTCCTGCATTAATATCCCATGAATATCCCACCGTCCCATGATTTGTCTATTAACAATATCCCATGAACGTGATTTTACCAGAGGCTAATCATCATCATCGTCGTCGTCGTCGTCGTCATCATCATCATCATCATCATCGCCAGTTAATAACATTACCCTCGGGTAAACTAACATAGCTATTGAAAATGGCCCAGTCGAAATAGTTGATTTACCCAGCTATTATAAGATGGTGATTGTCCATGGTTATGGGACAGTTTACCGAAGGGTAAAACCCATGATCATCCCATTATTCACCAATCATTGTGAACAATTAAATCACCATTTATAGTGGTTAAATCATGTTAAATCACCATTTTCCCATGGTAAACCAGAGGGTCATCAGCTTTCCTTATCGGCCAAACCATGGCGTAGGTTCGTGGGTTCCATCACCTCCACGGTGAACTCGTTGCGGCACATCCAGGCAGCCAAGGTCAAACAGCAGGAGGGTCGCCCTTGGGGCTATGGTGATCTACGGTGATTTTTGATGTGTATATGGCAGTGTGTCAAAACCTTGTACCCCTGTAGTTCACATCAAAATAGCTGGTAAATGGATGTTCATCCCACTAAAAATGGTATTAATAGGTATTGATCCATACCCATATATGTTTGTATGTGTATATCTATGGTCATGTTTGATGATATAAGATACGATAAAATTGTATTTGTTTTTAATACATACATATGTATATATATATATATAGATGCAGATTATCTCTCTCTCTCTCTATATATATATATATACATATGTGTGTGTGTGATGGTGCTGTATGTGATTGTATCTATGTTTAAGTGTTTTTGATTTTTGTGATGAAGATAGATGATGCTATGCGATTGTTAGTGTTTGATGATGCTGATAATTGATGATGAGGGTGATGATTATGCTGATGATGATGATGATGGTGGTGGTGGTGATGGTGATGTATGGTGTTGTAAAATGATATGTCGCAGCTGGTGTTGTTTTTAGCACAAACCCGTTTTCCCAAGGAAATGCAATTTCCTTCAGTTCATACTCAGTACAGTAATAAGTGGCACAAGAAATGCAGTACTGCCGACGTGCCAACGACAATTCAACTGCAAATCACATGTGAAGAATAGAGAGCATCCGTTTTGCCGCGGACTCACCCGGTGGTTTGGGGGCGCCTTCGCGAACCGAAAGGACACCCTGCTGCAGTTCTTCGTAGAGTGGCCTGGCAGAGCGACATGGTGGATGCCGAAACCATCCAACTTTGGATTGTCAAACGATGTCATCCAATCATGCATCTATCCAACTTTGGATGCGTTTGGATGATGTGGGTAATGCATGATAATGTGAAATAGATGATGTAGCATCATGGAGTAGATAGTCAGATAGTCCTCCGCGGAGGCCGTGTCTGAAAAATACTGTGCATTTTCAACTTGCAAATATTCCCATGATTTTGTAGCAATGGCATGGTCATTCCCTCATGTTGAATGCATACATACTTAGAGTTAGATGATTCAGATTCTAGATGAATATTCGCACTATTGGAGACGGTCCAATCTGAAATTTCATTTGCTAAAGATAGAGATATACATCGGCATGCATGTTGCAAAAAAAACATGAACATTTCCAGGATTCCCCCCAAAATATGTCCCTTAGGTGATTTCTACTGCCTGAAAAGTGAAAACTTCGATCGGTAATTGGCCAATGGTGCTGGATACCTGGTGTAGGGATTAGTTGTGTCTGGAGATGAAAAAGGTAATGTTCCGCAGTCATCCCGGGAGCTCCATCACTCAAGTCCAGTATGTTTTCAGCCACTCGATGGAAAAGGCGCTCTTCAACCTGCAAAACCAAGACTTCAACTCACCCAAAGAGACTCATTTCACGTGTTTAATGGATTTTAATGGTTCCTTCTTGGTCTGGGGATTGCGAAGTTGCAACATGTTGAAACTACACATCCAATGACAATGCCCGACAATGCCCAGGCGGAACATGTCCTTGGATCTGTACAGCAAGGTCGGTTTCTTGGGCGCCCCTTGCTTCCGCCTGGAAGTGAACTTCGGGTAAATGGAGCAACATAGAGCCTCATGGAGCAACATGGAGCATCATGGCTTCACGATTTTTATGTTTGTAAATTATCCCAGAAAAGTGAACCAATGCTTCTCTAAAACGGGCAATCTAAGCTGGCAATGGAAGTAACAGAAGCTGGCAGTCCAATTTCTGCGACTTTGCAGGTGCAGGAAGTCATCAAAACGGAAAACTTGGCAGAGGTCAGGCTACATGCAACTTGGCCAAAACTGACTTCTATATGCAGCTGGCAAAGCCACTGGGGGTCACCATGTATGCCACAACCCCCAGGTTGTCCATTTTTCAATATTTTTCAATATCCATTGAAAAAGTTCAGCAGCGCAATGAGATCCTACTGTGCCTCCATTCGTTCTGAGCCACCCTTCGAACTGGGCGAGTTGACACTGGTCGGTGGCCACTAGCCGACTCGCCAGAAAGTAGGATGGTCATGTAAGCCATCAAGTGCTCCTGCACCCGCACTCTGGAATAAGCACAACAGAAAGCCAGTCATGGAACCAGTGCCCCCGGAACTTGTCTCTCTCAGGAGACGGAGGTGGCTTTAGTGAACAGCTTGCCTGAACGATTTCGCATGCAGCTCCATGAGGATGATGGGCGTTACTGGAAGCGTAGCTTCCAGGGGGATAGGTCAACACATTTGATCCAAAAATTAAACTAACTTGGGGATCAACACGTTGATCTACAGCAAAACTAGCTTGAGATCAAGACTGATCAAGATCTCTGGAAGAATCTCAAGCTGAACAAGCATTGGGATCTCTCCAGAATAGCTCTACAGGGATTTCCGTCAATGTAATTAATATAATTGATCATAACGGAATTGATAGACTCACTCTTGAATATGGCCATGACGCAGCTTAGGATGTTGTTAATGACGCAGTGAAAAATCCTGCGTTTCGTTTCAGGAGATGTACATGAACTCCTTGCTGAAGCTGGAGTGCTGGCCACACAACTGCAGCCATGCGGCCAGTGGCTAAAATTCATCATTGTTGTGGCTCAAGTCCATAGCATTGGCGTAGGCAGTTGCATACCTACAATATCCAATAATCACACATAACAATATTAGCAATGCAATACAATGCAAAACCATCATTTTGAAGTACTATAATAACTGGAGGGCAGCTTTCCATCGTCAGATTAGATTGCTGCAGAAGGATATCAACTTATTTTTGGAGGGGCTACAAGGCTACACCCCTTGAATTTTAATGACGCCCAACAACGGCCTCATCCGGTAGTGAAATCATCCAACCCCATTGTTTGGTTTCATGTTTGGGGTTGGTTGGTTTGTTGGAAGACCACTGAGGCCTAGAGATATGGCTAAAGACTTGCTGATTGAGACCGACAATGAGGCTTTCTTGCGACAGATTTGTCATCATGCCATGTTTCTTGGTAGAACCCATTGGAATAAAATATAAGGATGGGTCAAAACCATGTTTTATGTGTAGAGATGCCGGAGATGCCGGTGATGCCGTATTTTGGATGACATGGGATGACCATGAGCAACCACATGCTGATGTGAGCAGGGCACCAGGGCTTTCATCCATAGCCATACTGGTAGCATATTTAAACAAAATATGTGTTTTCCGAGTCGAGAGCTGTAAAAAAATGGAGTTCGAATAATTTGCTATATATTTGAATCATGAAAAATATATATATGTGTGTGTGTGTGCGTGTGTTCAATTCATTGAATTCAGAAAGGTGCTAAAGGAATTTCACGGAGGCAGGACTGGGGCAAGTCCAATTGAGGGACTGTATTTTTTTTAGATTTTAGCAGATTGCCTTTTGTTTTCTGAGTGTTGGGAAAACTATGTGAGAGGATGCTTGCAAAACAAATCTTTGCACGAGTTGGTTCGTTGAGATTTGTTCGCAATGCTAAAGCCACTCGCGACAAACTTTTTGCCGTACCGTGCAATATGGTGTGTTTCTTTTTGTTTCTCTATATGCGTGGACTTGTACTTCTCTATCTAGAGTGAGAGTGGGGGTGAGAGAGTGTGAGAGAGTGAGAGAGTGAGAGAGTGTGAGAGAGTGAGAGAGTGAGAGAGTGTGAGAGAGTGAGAGAGTGAGAGAGTGTGAGAGAGTGAGAGAGTGAGAGAGTGAGAGAGTGAGAGAGTGAGAGAGTGAGAGAGTGAGAGAGTGAGAGACTGAGAGACTGAGAGAGTAAGAGAGTGAGAGAGTGAGAGAGTGAGAGAGTGAGAGAGTGAGAGAGTGAGAGAGTGAGAGAGTAAGAGAGTGAGTGAGTGAGTGAATGAGCGAGTGCCCCTTGCCAATGCACGTTGTGCCACGCCTGCCTCGCAAAAGCGGCGGAGACCGGACGCCAGGGCGTACATCCGACCCCTTGGCAATGCACGTTGTGCCACGCATGCCACGCAAAAGTGGCGGAGACCAAATGGCACCAGAGGGACGCCAGAGGGACGCCAGGGCGTACATCCGACCCCTTGCCAATGCACGTTGTGCCACGCCTGCCACGCAAAGCGGCGGAGACCCAATGGCACCAGAGGGACGCCAGAGCTCTGGCGTACATCCGACCCCTTGCCAATGCACGTTGTGCCACGCCTGCCACGCAAAGCGGCGGAGACCAAATGGCACCAGAGGGACGCCAGAGCTCTGGCGTACATCCGACCCCTTGGCAATGCACGTTGTGCCACGCCTGCCACGCAAAGCGCCGGAGACCAAATGGCACCAGAGGGACGCCAGAGGGACGCCAGGGCGTACATCCGACCCCTTGCCAATGCACGTTGTGCCACGCCTGCCACGCAAAGCGGCGGAGACCCAATGGCACCAGAGGGACGCCAGAGCTCTGGCGTACATCCGACCCCTTGCCAATGCACGTTGTGCCACGCCTACCACGCAAAGCGGCGGAGACCCAATGGCACCAGAGGGACGCCAGAGCTCTGGCGTACATCCGACCCCTTGGCAATGCACGTTGTGCCACGCCTGCCACGCAAAGCGGCGGAGACCAAATGGCACCAGAGGGACGCCAGAGGGACGCCAGGGCGTACATCCGACCCCTTGCCAATGCTCGTTGTGCCACGCCTGCCACGCAAAGCGGCGGAGACCCAATGACACCAGAGGGACGCCAGAGCTCTGGCGTACATCCGACCCCTTGCCAATGCACGTTGTGCCACGCTGTGAGTGAGTGAGTGGAGTGGAGTGGAGTGGAGTGGAGTGAAGTGAAGTGAAGTGAAGTGAAGTGAAATGAAGTGAAATGAAGTGAAGTGAAATAAAGTGAAATGAAGTGAAGTGAAGTGAAATGAAGTGAAATGAAGTGAAATGAAGTGAAATGAAGTGAAATGAAGTGAAATGAAGTGAAATGAAGTGAAGTGAAGTGAAGTGAAATGAAGTGAAGTGAAGTGAGATGAAGTGAAGTGAAGTGAAATGAAGTGAAGTGAAATGAAGTGAAGTGAAATGAAGTGAAGTGAAATGAAGTCAAGTGAAGTGAAGTGAAATGAAGTGAAGTGAAATGAAGTGAAGTGAAGTGAGTGAAGGGGCACAAAATCTCCGACGCCCGCGTCATTGGTGAATTTCCTGGGGTGTGCTACTCAACAAACATGAGAAAATCGTTAAACCATGTTGTCCGTTTGAAAAAATGCAATCAGTTCCTCATACAATCGTTGAAATGGTTGGTTTCCTCCATCTCTGTTTCAAACCGAGTTTACGCCAGTGCGCTGAAGCGAGTGCTCAGAGAAGGAATATTGCAGACTCCAAGATGCAGCTCTCCCATCACTCTCACTCTCGCTCTCACTCTCAATCTCACTCTCACTCTCACTCTCACTCTCACACTCACTCACTCACTTTCACTCACTCGCTCGCTCACTCACTCACTCACTCACTCACACTCACTCATTCACTCACTCCCTCTCACTCCCTCTCACTCACTCTCACTCACTCTCCACTCACTCACTCACGCACGCACGCACGCACTCACTCACTCACTCACTCTTTCCCTCTCACTCACTCACCTGTACATGCACATACATACCCACACACACAAACTCACTCACCATCACCCCTCCATCACTCTCATACTTCCTCTTCCCTTCTTGCTTTCTATGCTCAGTCTAAGTCTAGAGAAGTTGGTAACATGTGGAGTTATCCGGTCCTACAATTGTTTTGTTTGTTTTTTGTTCTGCTGGTTGGTTTCCTTGTTGCACCACTCTCTGCCCGCCCAAGGTCGGAGAGCGTTCTGAAGCGAGGGGAGGATCTCTTCTTGCCTTTGAAGGATTGCGATCATGTCTACTTCGTTGAGCAGGGATACGGATTGAAATATGCCACTTGGAACCACTTGATCCACTTGTCCGTTGTTTGTTGGCAGTCGGTATTTCGTTTGAAGCTGCCAGCTACGGCAGTTAGGGTGGGGACAGCGACGCAAGATAACCATGTACACCCTGTTGTCCTGGAGTTACATCACACTGTGGATGTACAATGTTTTGCTATCCGATCCCAAGCTGTGCCTTTAAGTAATATATTACATGATGTGTATAATTATGTATATGTTTTTTACTAAAGGTATAAGATGGTATGTTAATATATAATATACAGATATGTATCCGGCGTATACGCGCATATATATAATATACATATATACATATATACATATATACATATATACATATATACATATATACAATATACATATTTATAATATACATATATAAATGATATAAATACATACATACATATATAAATATATATATGATATTTACGTATATATATATATATACGTATCCCTTTTGACATTTCCACTGCAGACATGGTGGAGGCAGGTCCCATACAAACTGGTTTTGCAGGGGCAGTTTTATAAGATTTTTGCGTTGGTGGCTGCGTTTGCACCATTTTATAACAACAGAAAATTCGATCATGTTGTAAAGGTTTATTGACATATCACAATATGGAATTCTTTAATGCAAGACCATTTTGTAAGAAAAACATGCGAATATGATATATAGTTGTGCAACGCAGTACTAGGTGGCTAGCCATTTGGCCTGTGGCCTTCCACCAATGACCAATCTGCCAGAGTATTTTTTGACAATTCTCGAATATATTGGATGATTGATGTATGTATTAATCACTGTCATTGCGGACACTGTTAGTGTCCGCAATTGTGCATCTTTATATATGTATATATAGTATACAGTATAAGTATTTATATTTATATATATATATTGATATGCATATATATATATATATATGTCCGTGGATGCTTGGGTATGATTGGTGTTTGTTGGTGTACACAATGGTTGGGCACCAACTAGGCATTACAAAATGGTTGGGTATGAAATGGTGATGGTATAACTTGGTATATTGACAAGTGTTCTAAAACATGTTTGCATGGAGGCCCCCCAACCATCCCAAGCTTTAGCCATACCCCGGCATTTCACACACCTCACACATAACATTCATCTGAGCCCATGTATGCTTTTCAAGTGGAGATGACCTCGCCATTTTGTACAATTTTGTAAGGATATGTGCATGGAACCCCTCTCAAAATCATGTGTGCTGGACCATTGGGATGATGCTAACCCATACAAATCCACTCCAGCAAACTACCAACAAGATCGAACACTTTCATCCCCACATGCGCACCCGTCTCTATGGACATTTCTACTAGGTAGTACAAGCCATGTACAAGATCAGGGGGTACAGAAAAAGGTCCTTCTGCAACTTTGGGTTATTAAGGCCAATTGTGGCCCTACAAAACGGTTTCTTGATATCCATTGTTTCGAGCAAGCGGCTATTGAAAATCAATTATTTTGTCTTAACACTGGTTCTACGAAATGGCTCTTATTTAGAGGTTTTTGCTGACCCCATTTACCTTTCCATTTTGTAGCCTATTATCTTCCCCATGCCAGGCGAGTTTGTAGGCCAAACGTAGGGCATACCAAACTGTACCTTCAAACATGGGGGGTTCCTGATCCTATGGGTCTAATTTTGGATGTACAGATATACAGTACTTGCATTGTAACAATTATAAAGATATTGAGCATTGGGTAACGAGTAAAAATATGTAATAATATCATTATGTGTTGAATATTTATTCACTCACATACGTGAGATATACACAGTCTGATTGAGTGATTTATTTGCTTCTTTTTTCAATACACAGCAATTCTGAAGGGGCAGATGTCTCCAACATCTCACAAGCTGAGGCATCGCATGGTTACTCAACGGTTGTGATGCCGGGTGACAGTGAACCAGCTGCAGATCTTCCCCCAGCTGGGATTTTCCAGTCAGCATGTTTTTCCCCTATGGCATTCCCATATTGTGAGATTTGTTTCAGCCTTGTATCCTTTGCAAGGCTGAACAGGCTGAGCGGAGAATCCGTATGGATTTGAGGTAGGGCAATTTCACCATCATCAAATCGAGTTGGTGCAGTGCATAGTCCATAGTGACAGTAGGACAGCTCTCGAAGGCTGTGCCTTGAAACGATGGGGTTTGAACCACCAAAAGTGGAATGTTTGCAAACTGTCCTGCCATTTTTTATTGAGGTCTCTCCTGGAGATCCAACTGATCCAACTTCATGACAGACAATTTATTTTTAAACAATTTTTAACATTGGTATGTCACAGATGCTTGTTAGAGTTATGGCCATTTATTAGTTACAACTGGTTATTTCTATGGGATTATACATTCTATTTCCATGGATTTTCTTAGTACTTATAACTGGTATAACTCGGTCCATAACTGCCATAACTGTAGATATTCTTAGCATCTGTCCATTGCCAGCAGATCAGCTGAGGTCTCTGTCTCCCAGCGATTTGGGCTGAATGGCACTACTGCGGTCGCTGCACGGCGGAGTTCGGCGCAGGCACGACCGAGCCCTGCGACCGAGCCCTGGAATCATGGTTAGTGAGGGAAATCATCCCCTTTTATGGCCGAACTATTCAGGTTAGTGAAATATTATAATTTATATACCCAGATATATGATATAACATGATAATATGACAGGCAGATAGATATATAGATTTGATTAGATTTCTAGAAACAAAATTATATCTAAATATACACATATTTAATATGTTTTTTGTGTTTGCATATGCATATTTCTAGATGGTTGCAACGAACCTGCTACTGGTAGCATTTACATCTTGATGTCAACATATTGTTGGAAGTAGGATCTTCAATCCGGTGGCTTCCCCATTTGGCTGTCAACTGAAGATCGCAGCAAACTGACTTTCACAGATTGTCTTGGAGTCTTTGCAGCTTGGATTTGGTGACCACCAATGGCCTCCCAAAAGGAAGAATCCCTCGCAGGATATGTCACTCGAGTGAATGGAGAGACCTTTGCAAATCTGGCGATGAAGTTTTCAGGAGAAGTCGCTCGCTATTTGCCCCTTGGCCTTTGGTGCGCCTGATGAAGCGGAAACAGCTGGGAATAAAACTTGGCAATATGATCAGTGGCAAAGGGCTTACTGACTGAACAAAATCCATAGGGTGTAGAGTCAAAGACTTTTGGCAGCTATCCTTCGCAAGCTGCTTGGGCACAGATGCTAAAATAGATCCACCCTTGGGGTTCGCAGAGATTTCAAACAGTTTCAATTACGTTGATGGATCAATTATTGGGTTGGGTGGGGTGAGTACGGGGTGAGGGCGAGGTGGGCCAGAAATTAATAAAACTTTTGCCTGCGTCCATAGTCTTGCAGCTTTCCGCAATTCGTGCTGCCGCGAGACCAGGGAATTCGTTCATCTAAGATATTGCCATTCCAACAATGTGACCTCCCTATCCTGTCACACCACCTTTTCCTAGTTTGACATGCCACGGCCCTTTGTCTAGTGTCTCAGCACAGATGCAATGAATATGTTGTTCGTCTCTGGGTGAAAGCCGACATTTTGGCACACGGAGGGTTTGAGAGCGCTTTTGCGTCAGAAATTCAGATCCTGGTCTAAGTGCTTTTAGATGGCTGAAACATGTCTTTCGTACTATCATTTTCAACGTTTCGACCTCCTAATCCACATGCATGAAACCGCTGCGGACAACATCCGACTGAAAACAAGTCTCAAAATCTCGCTAAGGTGCGTGGTAAACCCTGCGGGATGTTTACACTATTGTGCTTGTGGTTTCAAACATGTTTCACCTACAATTGTCCCTAGCCCTAATTTTCATGAGGGTTGAAACATGTTGAAAACATCATCCATTGCCAATGAATGCAGCCCAATTTGTGCTGCGTCTTTGGAATCCTGGGGTGTCAAATCATTCCCTTCATCCAAGTGCCCCGATTCTCGAGAGATTTCGAGAGATGCTTCGAGAGATGCCAAATACAAAGAAGCAACATACCAACAAACCAACCATTGGGAAGACATCAGGAATCATCAGCAGTTTATATCCTTAAGAAAACATGCCTCGAGGCAAATCTTTGGAATTCTTCTGATTGGCGCTCTTGCACCTTGGCCTTCGGCTGTTGTGGATAGCTGCGTCGCTGCCCATATGTAATCTTGTGTGGGGTTCTTTGGAGAAGCCATGTGCCAAAACTATTTCAGATATATACATATAAGTATATGTGTGTGTGTGCCAATCCATGCTAAAAATTTGCTACATAGCATAGATATGTAGATAGAAAGGCAGACATATAAAATTGTGATGGTGATGGTGATGGTGGTGATGATGATTATTATTAATATATTACCATGCAGTAGCACCGCACAAGGCGGTGGCGGAAGTTTCAAAGATAGGACACTATAGGAGATGTGAGTTGTTGTGATGCATGGATGGCAGAGCGAACCCACTGATGGACCGCAAGGTGGTTGGAGTTGTGTTTTTTGGAGTGGTTGCAACGGTTGCAATGGTCACCTCACCCACATCTGCTGGATGTAGTGTGCTGGCTGTAGCGCAGCTGTAGTTGTAGTTGTAGTGTTGTGGAGTTGTAGTTGTAGTGTAGTGTAATTAGTGTAGCGCAGTTGGAGTTCTAGTTGTGGTGTGGTGTAATGAGTGTAATGTAATGTACTGTCGTGCAGTGTAGTGTGCTGTAGCGTTTTGTTCTATAGTGTGGTCTAGTGTAGTTGTAGTCGTAGTTAGTAGTTGCAGTTGTAGTTGTAGCTTTAGTTGTAGTTGTAGTAGTTAGTGTAGCGTAGTGTAGTGTAGTGGAATTAGCGTAGCGCAGGGTAATGTAGTTGTAGTTGTCGTTGTGGTTGTAGTTGTAGTGTAGTGTACTTAGTGTAGTGTAGTGTTGTGTAATGTAGTGCAGATGGAGTTGTAGCTGTAGTCTTTGGTGTTTTGTAGTGTAATAAGCGTAGTGTAGGGTAATGTAGTGTAGTTGTAGTTGTAGCTGTAGTAGTATATGTAGTTGTAGTTGTAATGTAATTAGTGCAGTTTTATGTAATGTGCGTAGTGTAGTGTAACTAGCGTAGTGCAGTGTAATTAGTGTACTGTAGTGCGTTTTATTTGCAAATGTATTTGTAGTTGTAGCGGGAGCGTGGTGTAGTGTAGTTGTAGTTGTAGTTGTTTCTCCAAGTAAGTATCTATCTATCTATCTATCTATCTACCTATCTATCTATCGATCTATTTGTTCAAGTTTGAAAACGAAGCTATGCTGCCAGACTTCCTCAGTTTTTGAGGTTGGCAACATCAAAAACGAAGCAAATCTGCGCGATTTCCACAATTGTCCAACCTGACAACGTCAAAAACGAAGCAATTCTCCGAGACTTCCTCATTTTTTTTACTTGACAACATCAAAAACGAAGCAATTCTGCGAGACTTCCTTCAAAAATGGAATGTTGAGTGCAGCGCTGCTGGCCTCGTACCAATGCGTTTGGTAAATTTTCCACTAAAGTGCTGCGCCTGCCACGAAAAAGTGATGCCAGGTCATATTGGTGCGAAGTGCTGCACCTGTCACGCAAAATCTTAGCAAACCTGAAGATCGGATGCTCCAAAATGCAAACCTTCTCAGGAAATCAGCTCCCTGACTTCCTAACATCTCTGGTTAATACGTCTCTCGTATTGCGCCTGCCATGCGAAATGCATCTTTGCAGATCCTCTTCAAATGTCCCACGCCTGCCATCTTTTTTGGAAACGCATGGAAGTGTTACAAAACCTTCTCAATTTGCTCAATTTTGGCAAGGTGCAGAACCCCCTGCGCCTGCCATGCAAAACAACATCTGAACGTCCAAAAGTGGTCTGAACATGCGGTGTTTTTAACATTTTGACTTGGAAATGTGCTTCGCGCCACAACGGCGTGCACTTTTTCGACATGTCAACTTCCAAAAGTGGTCCGAGAATGTTGCGCGGTCCGACACTGAGGTGTTTTTTGTACATTTTGACTTGGAAATGTGCTTCGCGCCAGAACGGCGTGCACTTTTTCGACATCTCGACTTCCAGAAGTGCTCCGAACCTGGTGTGTTTTGCACATTTTGACTTCGAAATGTGCTTCGCGCCACAACGGCGTGCAATTTTTAATTTCTCATTTGGCCGGATGGCTCCGCACCTGCCGCTTTAGCGAGCCTACCTTTGGACCCGCCGGAGCCACAAATCATATTGTCGGAAGTTTGACTTCGAAACCTCTTTCGGTTATGTAGGAGTATGTCTCTGTGTGCATGTGTTTACATATCTTGTTCAAATATTGCTGGAACGATCAGGAGTGTGATGTCGACGCTGACGACCTGTGTCTCCTCCCACGAGTTACAGACGGATGGGGTGCAACGGTGCACACGCGATGGGGGTGCTCTTGGATAACATGGGATACCCGGTTGACGGGCAACGGTTGATGTTCAATGGAAACTCACTGAAATGCCCAGTTGCTTTGAACAGCGCTATATAGCTGAACGTGGAAGTCCAAGATGCGAATCGCGTATATCATGTGTGTTGCTCTAAGTGGAGGAAACATATAGGAATAAATGTTCCAACTGTCTTGAATTTTCATGTCTTTGCTTAATAAAGTAACTCTTTGTATCTGTAGCACTGTAGATATTGTAGGCTGCGTGGCATGTTGCCATGATCCGGCTTGCAAATGCTTAGAAGGCGTAGCAGCTGGGACGCGTCGAAGCATCCCTGAAAGATATCGATATGCGTATAATGAAATTTATTACATAATGTTATGATGCACAAAATATCCGTACATATGTGTGCGTGTGTGTGTGCGTGTAATATAAGTTAATATATTCGTGTCCATGAATATGTATAAAGTATATTCCTTGTATGCTTGCCCCATTTGGAAACTATTGGAAACATACACAATCATGCCCGCATGCCTACACCCCCTGAAAACATCACGACTACATCCTGCCACAGTTGAGGTTTCAACGCGGAGAAAATGGAAGCTTTGGCCTCGCGCGCCCACATTTTTGCACATGCCAGCGCCACACAAACCCACGGTAGCCTGTTCGAGAAACCCGTGTCCCGAGACAATTTGCCCGATTTGTCCCCAAAAGGGAAATGGAAGGGAGGATTTATCTGACCAGATCTGACCTGAGCGATTTCACACATTCTTCACCACCATGGATCATCATTGATATCACAGCCATTGGGGAGCAAACTTGCCATGTCTTTCCATGGAAATCCGGTCAGAAGCGATTCAGATGCCGCAACTTCTGGACGTGCAAAGCATCCCCGGAGTGGCTGTGCTACGCGCAGGTGGGTGCCAAAGCGCGTGGCACCGCGGTGCCCGGCTTGGGACTGACCCAGTCCGACGTTTGTGATAGTTATCAGATTGCGCCTGATAAATTATGCCTACTTGGATTGGACACTTCATGGAATTTCATTCCCAAAGCATCCAGTGTATGCAAATAATGCTAACATTCGACAATGTAGTTGATTTTTGATAACATTGGCCTGTTCGAGACCAATGTAGCCAAATTGTGCCTACATTCGATAATTCGATAAATTCGACAATTCGATAACTTCGATAATTCGATAAAAATCACACATAGAGCACCCTATATTCCCACAAATACTTGACTGAACCCCCGCATAAATGAGTTTGGTCCATTTAAACATAAATATTTAGTCAGGCACCGACGGCCTTGACAAAATGTTGAGAAACACATTGCTGGAATTTGGCCTTCAAGAAGAGCCCAAACGAGAATTGACTTCATTTTATGAGACTGGAAGCAACCACCACCATCGCTAACCTTCACTTCCTTGCTTCCAGTTCTTTCTACTGGGGAACTCAACGACAGCTTGCAAGTAGTATTAGTCACTATGTGAAGGATAAAAAAGGAATGGTATGGCAAGCCCGTGATTTCTTCCTTTGCTCATCCAATTCATGTTCTGAGTGGGGGTGCGCGTGGTTCAACGGAAAACATGTCAATGTGAACAATCATCTTTCCAACTGCTAGTTTTGGTTTCAACATGCTTCACCAGCTTACACCTACAATAGTTGATCGCTACTATCTACTTGTTGCATTCTAAATGAACATCCTCTCCGTGTTGTGACTTCATGGCTCCACCAAAAGCGCGAAAGGAAGTACCGATGAACTAGAACAACAATCAGACATATATATGAGAGATTGTGAGAGTATGTCATGTGTTTTTGCCTTCAAGCCGTTTGTGGTCTCATGAATATCTGGCTGGCATGGCCAGGCGGCCAGGCTATAGCAAGCAAATCATCTTTTGAATTCAGCGCAACCACGCAATATAATGAAACATGATTCTGCCGAAAGAAACATGTGACAAGTGTGCGCGACCACTCCTGGACATCAACAATTTGTCTTTTAGCAGGTTTTAGCGAGGCAACCACTCTGTCCCAGCATTCATGTTTCATCAAAGGAATCCAGCATATGTACGGTGTAAAGATGTGTAAAGTGTAGCTCAGTGAGTGTGTATGGGTTCTCTCAGTACGACTGTTTCGCGCGCAAACAACTCAAAAACTCATAATATCTAAATGTTGAGGGTTTTTATTTTGTTGTTGACATTGACTGAGGTCAAAAGTTGGGAAACCAAGACAAATACCTTGTTTTTTTCTTCAAACTGACTTGCCTTTCTTGAAACATTCTTGTTCAAAAAATATACTAAACAAAACTACGTGGTAGGGGTCCCAGAAAAAAGTAGCCACAACACAATTTTGTCATTGAAAATCACACAGAGTAAATCAAATCACTTGGTGGTTCGCCTTTTTCCCGTTTTGTAATGTATGTTTTTGCAGATATTAATATTTACATCATTTTACATCAAGTAAAGTTATATTTTGAAAGTAATGCAACCTGCAAGCAATCATGAGCAATGAGTGTGAAACGATATTTGCATGTTTGTATACCAAAGCATTGTGGTATATGATATCATGCTTCTCGTGACCCGCTTTTCTAGATGCGGGGCCTGCCAATTGTTGCACGTTTTGCAGGATAGTGTAAGGAAATACGGGGTACCAGGAAACACGGCTTGGAAGGCAGAAGGCAAAGAGTGACAACTGGGATAAGGAAGAAAAGGAGCAAAAACTAAAGGCGTCCGGGCGATGTAAGCGGTAGTCTTTGAGGCCCACTTGCTGTTTTGATTGTTGGATTTCCACAAATGAAACATATGGTCGTGCTGGGCCATGTGGAATATGTTTTTTTTAGGACTAGATCCTGCAAACAGCTTCGAAAGTTTCATGACCAGGCAGTTTGTGTTCTGAAAAGCATGCTGAAAATACAGCTCCTCTAACCTCACCGGGGCTCAATGTGAACTGGACCGGACATGCTTGGGTGATTAGGTTTTTCCTGGTACACTTTGGTGTTTGAGCAGCGGTTTTGAGCAAACTGCTGACCATTTGCGAATGATAAACTTCAAATTGTCAAGGAATGGTGGTTACAGAATATAGAGGTTGCAGGAAAACCGCGTTTTCAGATATTCTAAGAGCAAGGGTTGGAGTTCGAGGGTCAAAGCTGTAGTCCATGCACTCCCCGCAACATTGATTTTTTGGACGCACTTGCAGGACAATGCTCACCCTCAACACGGTCTCGTTACGGTCTCGTTACGGTCTCGTTACGGTCTCGTTACGGTCTCGTTACGGTCTCGTTACGCAAATTCGATAAATCGATAACGTTCCCTTATTAAAAATGAATACATTCGACAAATCTCGTTACGGTCTCGTTACGGTCTCGTTACGGTCTCGTTACGGTCTCGTTAGGCACATTGTTCCTGAAAAAAATGAAACAAATGGTAAGTGGCACGCCTGATGAGCCCAGTCGCTGCACAAAAGTTTCGCGAAACATGCTCAGCCGGTTTTTGGATACCACCTTTACAAGGACATGAAAGCATAATAACAAGCTCTACCGAAATCAGCAATGCGCAAGATGCTATGGTTGTCTGGCACCTGTTCGAAAAGAATTGCAGACTCTTTGCTCTATGCTTGTGCGAACCCAATTCATATTTTGAGTGCAGCATTCGCGATTCAACAGAAAACATTGAATGACCTTTGCCACCAACCGCAAGCCTTGGTTGGAAATGCTTCTCGGGCTTACAGTGATAGGAAGCAATCACCAGCATATAGTTTCTGTGCGCCAAGGTATAATTCCTGTTTGCATTCTCTCCGTGTTGTGACTTCATGGCTCCACCAAAAGCGCGAAAGGAAGTACCGATGAACTAGAACAACAATCATACATATATTATGAGAGATTGTGAGAGTATGTCATGTGTTTTTGCCTTCAAGCCGTTTGTGGTCTCATGAATATCTGGCTGGCATGGCCAGGCGGCCAGGCTATAGCAAGCAAATCATCTTTTGAATTCAGCACAACCACGCAATATAATGAAACATGATTCTGCCGAAAGAAACATGTGACAAGTGTGCGCGACCACTCCTGGACATCAACAATTTGTCCTTTAGCAGGTTTTAGCGAGGCAACCACTCTGTCCCAGCATTCATGTTTCATCAAAGGAATCCAGCATATGTACGGTGTAAAGATGTGTAAAGTGTAGCTCAGTGAGTGTGTATGGGTTCTCTCAGTACGACTGTTTCGCGCGCAAACAACTCAAAAACTCATAATATCTAAATGTTGAGGGTTTTTATTTTGTTGTTGACATTGACTGAGGTCAAAAGTTGGGAAACCAAGACAAATACCTTGTTTTTTTCTTCAAACTGACTTGCCTTTCTTGAAACATTCTTGTTCAAAAAATATACTAAACAAAACTACGTGGTAGGGGTCCCAGAAAAAAGTAGCCACAACACAATTTTGTCATTGAACAATCACACAGAGTAAATCAAATCACTTGGTGGTTTGCCTTTTTCCCGTTTTGTAATGTATGTTTTTGCAGATATATTAATATTTACATCATTTTACATCAAGTAAAGTTATATTTTGAAAGTAATGCAACCTGCAAGCAATCTTGAGCAATGAGTGTGAAACGATATTTGCATGTTTGTATACCAAAGCATTGTGGTATATGATATCATGATCATGCTTTTCGTGACCCGCTTTTCTAGATGCGGGGCCTGCCAATTGTTGCACGTTTTGCAGGATAGTGTAAGGAAATACGGGGTACCAGGAAACAGGCAAAGAGGGACAACTGGGATAAGGAAGAAAAGGAGAAAAAGTAAAGGCGTCCTGGCGATGTAAACACAGTGCACCTTACTCTGCTTCAAGCGGTAGTCTTTGAGGCCCACTTGCTGTTTTGATTGTTGGATTCCCACAAATGAAAACATATGGTCGTGCTGGGCCATGTGGAATATGTTTTTTTTTGAGGACTAGATCCTGCAAACAGCTTCGAAAGTTTCATGACCAGCCAGTTTATGTTCTGAAAAACATGCTGAAAATACAGCTCCTCTAACCTAACCGGGGCTCAATGTGAATGGGACCGGACATGCTTGGGTGATGTCTAGGAATGTTTAGTTTTTTTCCTGATACGCTTTGGTGTTTTGAGCAGCGGTTTTGAGCAAACTGCTGATCATTTGCGAATGATAAACTTCAAATTGTCAAGGAATGGTGGTTACAGAATATAGAGGTTGCAGGAAAACCGCGTTTTCAGATATTCTAAGAGCAAGGGTTGGAGTTCGAGGGTCAAAGCCAGGCCAAAGCTGGCTGGACATTGCGGAATTGCATCTGTCTTTTTTTAACTTTGGGTTTTCAGTTTCTTTCAGATCTTTAAAATTTTAAATCATTTCCAATCTAAGGCAACTAAGTTTGATTTCGCTAACCAACGTAGTTTAATATAGTTTATATATCATGGCAAAAGAGCGGAACCAAAAAGAACATGCAATCTGTATGGTTGTATGGTGCTCGTTTTAAGAGACCCTGAACAAATTTTGAAGGCAAATGGCTGCACACCATGTCAAGCCATCAACCCCCTGGAAATCAATGACATTCGACAAACAAAGCCCCGACAATTCGACAATGTTGTGCTCTCAAGCCAACATACCAATGTAGTGCTCTCAGGCCAACATTGGTCCGAGTGTTTATATTACCAACATGGATTCTTAGGGATTGATATTCAATTGCATTGTCATGGGCTAACCATCTCTCTGTGTGTCAAAATTGCAGCTGTGTGGCTTGACCAGCTCCGAAAGAC